GTATATAAAAAAATGAAGCGCACCAAAGTTGAAGAGAGTTTACCGGCTGCCAAACACCATGCCTTGCATGGTGTTTGCAGTACATCCTATAGGCATCTGCAGAGGTATATAACGAGGAAGATAAAGAGGAAGTTCGAGCCATGAACACAACGCAACTGTGGAAAAAAAATACTGTCAAAGTAAAAATAAAGAAGAAAGCTTTAGAGTCAAAAGGGAGGACTGCGGGACGCTTCGAGAATCCTGCCAGCCGCAAAAGATTAAAAAAAAGTATAAATGGAAGACATAGCGACGCCGACGTCGTGCCCCTGGAACGCTGGGACTGAAGTTTACGTCCGCTGCGTCCAAACACTCCTGTAAAGCTTTTTTTTTTTTGGACGCTTTCGTACACTCTTTACGTATCGCAACTCTTTCAACTCCAGGCACTCTAGTCCCAGGACGACGCTAGGCCTAAACGCGCCGTCCCCGTCCTTCGACCCGTCCGTCGGACGACACGACCTGCTCTCGCGGTGCGGGCCGCCGCCGCTGGTTCCATTACAGCTCGGCCGCCGAAAGACCTTGACCCATTTGTCGGCCCATTTGCATACTATTATAGCGGGACACGGGCAGCGACAACGCGGAGCGCGCGCGAACCTGCCTTCCTGCTTTCCTCCCTGAAGCACTGTTGCCGGTTCCGTTCCTGGCGGGCACGACCGGAGGACGCTCTTGTCTCGCCTGCTGTCGTTTCCGTCGTGCTTGTCTACGAGACGTTCTTGTCTTCGCAGTCAGTTTGTTCGGCACCGCTAGGTTATAAAATCAAAACAAAAACGCAACAACAACAATGGATGGCGCTCTTGCTTGGCATTGGTTTCGCTTTCGCACCGCCTTTAGGGAACACAAAGGCTGTTTACAGCGAGATCGCAAGGGACGTCTGGCAACCAGAGTACCCAGCGTTCTTTCACCCTTTTAGGGCTGTTGCGCAGACGCCAAGATGTCAAAAGAAATCGAAGCCACGCTCATGGCTCAAACTCCCTCTTTATCTTCCTCGTTATAATCCTCTGCAGATGCCTATAGGATGTACTACAAAAAAGTGGATTGTTGGACTATAGTTGGCGATTGATCGACATAACGTGCGTTTTCTGACTTGGTGCCTTCCATGTTGCGCTGTTTATTTTTTCCTATGTGAATAGAATATTTATAATATTGGTGTCCTTTGCGCATGACCGGAATATCGTTACGCCGTCCTGATCGCGATCAGTCGATTTCGCTGTTGTTCGTGAACGTTGACTTGTTTGGCACGCCGCCGCTGCCACGTTTTTACGATTGTCATAGCGCCACGCTAAGGTTATATGAAAGGAACTTTTTCTGCTTGCGTTGATAGAGACTTTTATCGTTCTATCTCTACAACACCGGGCGTGAGATACACAGCTGACAAGTCTCCTCTCCGACATGCGACGTCAATAAGCCTTGTATTTAACACGAAAGGGCACTACCGGGCCGCCTATTCAAGTCTTTTCTTCCTCGTGAGTTGAAAACACACACACACACACACACACACACACACACACACACACACACACACACACACACACACACACACACACACACACACACACACACACACACACACGCAAAAAAAAAAAGTAAAAAGAAGACACTGGGTGCCGCTTTAGAGGGTCCGGCTGCCTTTTATTTGAGACTGAACGCCATCCACGCGTTCCGGATTTAGTGACAAAACTACACATTTACTATATGTTTACTGTCATCAGTGGTGCAGTCTCGTGTGAAGCTTGACGCGTACGAATCATAAATACAAATCGCGGGCAAACAATTCTTAAAAAGTAAGTACTTTACACTCTCGATTACAGTCATACAAAATGTTAGTGTTTTTACTGAGGAAGACCTTTTGCTTTGTCCGCACTTTTTTAAACTGCTCTTCTGAACCGAACCGATCAACCGTTTACAAATGTAAATCGCGATTAAACCATTAAAGGGAAGCTGAAGAGCTTTTCGAAAAAAATGAGTTAATGGTTGATTCTGACTTGTTTGTGCCTGCTGAGTCCAAATATCACAACCATTTGACCCAAAATAATCCTTAAACGCGAAAAAAAGCGAAGAAATCAGAAGCGATCGCCGCAGCGGCACGCCATTGGCTAGCCACGCGTGACGCGCCGCTACGTCATAAAAGGACCATCTCGATTCTCGCTTGCTCCGTCGCTTGCGGAAGTAGCCGCGCGCCGGGCCTTCTGCTCTCGTAAATCGGGTTCGACTTCTGATTTTTCGAAATCTTTCGGTGGATCCGAAAGAGGAATGTGTCCAGACGACCCTCGACGTGACAAAGTACGCTTTCCAGTCGTTGGCAAGGTAGGAAAATGACCCCCCGCAGTAATAAACACAGACGAGGAACCGCTTGCGCGGACGCGAGATGGGTGGCTTTGTACCTTCAGGAACGTACTTACTGCTACTTATTGTAACCTAAAATGTTGACAATAAACGGAGTGCTATTGACGGGACACCTAAAGCCGGATTAGCGTGACCCTGCCCAAAACGGTCGTCAGAGGACAAGAATTCTGCACACATCGGCCTTCGTGCTTGCCAGCTGCTGGACGCGTGAGCGTGCAGGCTGCATTGTTTATCAAGGCTGAAGTTGTTTGAAGGAATAGTATAATCGGCTTCGGGCGACGGGAGAGCTTCCCCTGAGATGAGACGGGTGATAAGATAGGGTCGCCGTTCTGCCACCTCCATGTCCTTGCGCACTATGCGAATAACTGCGCAGAAGGTGCATCCTAGTGATAGCGGTACCCTCTGCTGCGTTTAGTTTGTTTGCCACAAACTATTGCGCCATTATAGCTTTAGAAAAAGCCGAGATCTGTGCCCGGCACCCCTTAATTTGATGTCGAATTCATGAAAGCTTCCTGGGTCTCTACATTCGCATACTTCTACCAAGCTTTTCTTACTGCATCACACCGCCACCAGGCATTATCATCGTCCGATCGCATTTCTACGGCACAAAGAATTGTTGCATTACACAAACTTTGTACGGAAAACACTGCGTAACTTGTAAAAAAAGAACTCAATTCAGAACAGAAGGTCACATGCTTTGTATTTCCACAAAGCTCTCCTGAAGAGTATATGAACTTTTGGAAGGAAAATTTAACCAAATTTATGTTTACGTTTAAAAAATATGTGGCCTCAAATAATGTCAGCAACTGTAAAAAAAAGTTTATGTTAAAACAAGTTGCACCATGAAAGTCGCATTATGAATTGCATGACTACTTATTAGAGCAAGCCCTCCTCTCCCAAGTGACTGGGTAGCCGAGTAGAATAAAAGCAAAAGTAAATAATCTTGAACTACCCAAAATTGTTTTTTTTTTTGTTTTTGTTTCCCAGACTTCCCGGGCCGGAGTCGATTCGGAAAATATGGTCACTTCAACAGTATAAGAAACCAACACTAACACACTAATAAGGCGGTTAACACAAGAGAGCCAGTAGAAACCCGCTGTTCGGCTCAATGACCGCGGCTTTTCTAGCACACTGCACACTTCTAATAACGTAACAGCTTTTTTCTAGAACAGTCGACCTACAATTCCTACCCAGTTACGTTTCCTCTTTGCTTGTGACTTTTAATGCCCTGAATTGCCTCCTTACCTTCAAAGATGGTCGGCAGAGCGTCGGGTTCGAGCGAGCCTTCTTCAGACCGAAACCCATACGTACATAGTTTTCATATGCGCCGTCCGAAACCCGTTTCGAACAAAAAACGGTGTACTTGCTCAAACCAACCTACCCCCTTAAAATCTCGGTGACGAAGTGGAAAAGACGGTAAGCGGGAAGAACAACTGCGACGAGCGCTGTTTATGAAAGCTGGCTGCTACACACGAGTACGGCACCGTGCAACAGCACGAGTCAGTTGGTTCGGTGCCACGAGAATTCTGCGAATACGTGAACAAACAAGAGAACAATTAGCACGTAAAGCGATCGAGTCCATAGCATGACCGGTCAACGAATAAAAGCAAGCGCTATGCAGCGGCAGAACAACGACGGCTCGAAAAGACACTAGAGCAGCCTACGAGGAAAGCGCGGCCAGCCGCGGCGGGGTCCCCCACCCGGTCCTTTTGTGACGCCGGCTGACGGGCTTCCTCCTCTCTCCCCTTTCGCTCTGCTTCGGAGAGGCGTGGCTTCGGCGCTACTTTGAAAGCGCTGTTCCGGTTAATCCGCGCAGAAAATGACCAAACGAATACGATATTTGTGATGACTGAGGTTTCATTAACTAGGCTCAGGTGTTTTTTCTCGTATTTAAAACCGCTTCAGCTTCCCTTTAATCGGAAAGTTAATCGATGAATTGCCCAGCCCAGCAAATTACGCTATTTACACATTGGGGTAGAATAAAGCGTTGCGTTGTCTATACATGCAATGTGCTGAGCGCCTCGAAGCGGGCAGACGGAATATAACACAACCCAGACACAAAAGTTCACAACACGTGTCGGACATTATTCGAAATAATAGTTACATGCTAATCTGAGCATGCTGGTAGGCAACCAAGGTATGCAAGCATGGTATTACACTATTGAAAAAAAAAAAAAAAGTACGAGCAATACTTCCAATACCGTGCAATCGAACTGACCCTGTAGTATGCATACGAAAAGATCACTGATCGAATCGAATCCAACAGTTGTTAATAATGGGAAAATTGTCTGATTTCTTCAACCTTTACACAGTTGCCTTTCTTGCTTAATGAATGAGAACACATCATCTCCCCTAGGTGTATAAAGGACATGCGCTGAATGTGGGCGGCAATGTCATCCGTTACTAGACGATGTCGTCCATTCATCAAACCGCGTTGCCGTGACGTTATATAGAGTGCGTGGGGAGGGGGAGGAGTGCGCGGACATTGCTTTATTTACGTGCGACGCTGGTGCAGGCCTCCTCTACGTTAGTACAAAAGTGCGTTTCTTAAGATGTCCGTGACATAGTTGATCGCGCGGACAAGATCAAGTGACCAGATTCCTCCCTTTTGGTTTCTGCAGGAAAACGTATCGCTCCGGGCTCTGTCGATTCGCCGGCCATGGTGAAGATGACGTCAGCCGGGGACCCTCGGTCCTGATTGGACGCCGTGTCGGTCACGTGCCCACCTGCTGACTCACGACCCCTCAGGTATAGAGCGTTTTTTCGCTTATCCTCACACCAGCGCGCAACTGACAAACCGTCGACCCGATGCCCTTTAGTAACCACTAACGCGCTACTGTTTTTTTTTTCGGTAACGTAGTAACGTACTTGTTACATTTTCAAAAGAGTAACGGATAACGTACTTACGTTCCTTATTTCAAGTAACGAGTAACGTAGCTTCATTACTTGTTATATCTTCTTCCCAAAACCTGAAAAAAGTACACTTAATTTCTTTTTTTTTTTTTTTGTGTGTGTGTTTCTATACTTTAATTCACCTTAAGTTCAGACGTAGCCGACGCTACGAGCTCATTGGACCAATCAGAGAGCTTCAAATGGGCAACCATCATGGTGTTCGTAATGTTTCTGTATGTGTTCTGTCATCGCTGAACCAATCATCAACAAAAATGGGCCAGTGACGCGCTTTTGACGTTTTTCGATTGGCCCCATTAGCTCGTAGCGTCGGCTGCGCCTCGGCTTACGCTGAAACGAAGTATAGGCGCCAAGTCGTTAATATTTGCACTCATTTCAGGTACCTTCAAAATGTTGCTTCCCTTTTCCCCACGCTAAAATTCCCACTTCCGAAAAACCCCAACGCTCACGCCCTTTGTCCCAGTATCAAAAAACTGTCGAAGAAACAACAACAACAACGTTGTTACCGTCAATTTATAAATAAAAAGTAACGCAAAATTAACGAGCGTTACTTTGTAACGGTAACGCGTTCCTTTATTTTGCAAGTAACGAGTAATGTATTTCGTTACTTTTTTTCTTTTTGGTAACGCCTAGGATACTGATTTGAATGCAATGAAAAGAGCCATGTTTGAGCTTTATTGTGGTATCCAGGTCATTAAAATATTCTAAAGAGTTCACACACAAGAACGTGCCAGACTGTGCCAAATTTTTTTTTCGTAATTAGATTAAAATGGAGTACACCAATATTTTAATTTTCATCTTATAACGCAACATAATTTATTTCGCCCGTCTCACAACAGAGTCTTACAGGACTCTAGTCAGAGGTAGCAAAATAGCGAGACGTCAAACATTCAATTCCCAACAGATTACGGCCGCATCATATCAAACAGTGCCAAAAAAAAAAAAAAGGAAAAAAGAAAATTTTTTTTAAATGTGTTAGTATTGTTATCTCGGTTTTCATTTATTTCAAAAATGCCCCCGAAACATATCTGTATATTTTTTCTAAATTAAAACTCGGCCCAAAAACCACGCTTCAATTTAGATGAAAATATGTTTTCTGCCACCAGTAGGGAGTCACTTGATTGAACCGCTCGCTCTTTTGTCATCTATCAAAGTACTGCGTTAGGACTCTTTTGAGGCACTCTAAAAATATTCAAAATATATTTAATTATGACTACCTAATTTAACAAGTAACATTTCTTAAAATAATACAAAAAAACAAAATGTGGGCCCGATTCTCTTTGATAATCTTTGTCGAATTTTCGGCATGTTCTTGCGTGTGGCCTATTTAAGATATTGTAATGGCTTTGATAGCGCCAGAAAGCTCAAACTTAGCTCTTTTTTTTTTTTAAATAGGAACTCCATATCATATGTAGAGATTAAAATTTGTTATAAACATTTGAACGAGGAAATGTTTCGAAAATCTGGTAAATTTAAAACAGATTTTCTCAAAACGCCTATTTTTCTATTTGCTTTGTGTTTCATTCGTAGCAGGGTATGCTTGTGGTTAATCAGGAAATACAAATAGAAAATAAATAAATTATTTTGTTTACACGGCCACACGTAAACAAAATTATGACGTCATCTTCGCATGGGTGCTACTCTGGGTAATATTGTGGCATGAATATAGTTACCTACCCAACATTTATACTTAACATGCAAACTTAAAAATATTTGAAATAGTGCGTGAGGCGGAGTAAAAGTTATTTTACTCCGCAACAAACGTTGCCGTCTTACAACGCACATTTAACAAACTTCAAGCTTTATTTTCGGTCTTATAAACAAACTATTATATTTTGTGTTTATATATTATGATATATCACTATCATACCTTCGTACTAATAAAACAATGAAGAAAACAAAATATGGGAATTTCGTAAAAATGGACCCCGAATGGGCTAGGTTTTCGAAACATTCGCCCACTCACATCTATATAACTGATTTTAATTAGTGCGTATAATGTTGAATTTGTATGCAACGAAGAGAGCTAACTACGAGCTTTTTAGTTATATCAAGATCATTAAAGTATCTTAAATAGGTCACACTTAAAAATTTGTCAAACTTTGCCAAACATCATAAAAAAAGATAGTTCGACATTTTTAATGTTTTAACTGTTCTAAAATCCCACTTTTTTATTCATGAACCGTAATGAAATCTATTTCGAGAGTCCCACAGAAGAGTTCTAGTTCAGTAGTGTTAGAAACGACAAAAAAAGCGAGCGGTCAAAAACGCGATGCCAGGAGAAACGGCAGTTTTCTCCTGCGATACATTTCAGACTTCCCCCGATCTTCCGCAATATTATGTGCTGCGCTGGCCATGGGCGGCGATGCGGTCGACACCGCCATGCTTAGCTCTATATGGGCGAACCCCCATGAGTTATACTCTGTCATCTTTTACCGCAGCAAAGGGTAGAAAAGCGCGAGCTCATAGTGTTGACAGCTTCTCTTAATGTACCAGAGCTTGTGCCGCCGAGATGTGCCCAAGAACAAGGAGCTCGCGCATGTAGCCTTTCCTGCGGTAGATTATAAGGTGAAATCGAGTATAACCGTATTAGGCCAGCTCAGTTGAATTTAATGATCGTTAGCGGCTCAATGACAGTTGGCACCGCCGTGCAATTAACTACGGCCGATCGCGATTAAGTCGACTGCCGTTGGCTTAATGACAGCTAAGAGCGCTCGTCTAAGGTATAAGACTATATGTAGCTCATGAATGGTATTTTTCTTCTTCTTACTGCTAATTTCATCTCACTTCAAACGTTAAACGGATTTATCACCCGGCAATCAAATTCCAAAATAAGATCCGTAGGTTCTATAAACTTTCTGGTCAGTGAACTCTCGCTCGCATTGCCGCTTCTATCACGGGAGATTGTAAGAAAGAAAAACCCGAACCCACATAAACAAATGAAAAAGGGAATTCGGCGGCATATATAATCTATTCTTCCGTGTTGTTTGGATGGCGTAATAGCTGTCTCTTTTCTTCGCGTCTTCTCCCGACCAAAGAAAGTGCCTGTTTTTACTTTCACTGATATGAAACACTCCCGAACGGATATATAGATCCGAAACTTTCGAATCGGTAAATAACTCTGCTTTGACTGATTATACGACACTGGCGAACAAAAAATATAGATAAGAAACTTTTTAGCCGAGAAACCACTTCACCGACTATTCGACACTGCCACAGGAAGATATAGATACGAAACTTTCGAACCGGCAAATAACTCTACTTTGGCTGATTATGCGACACTCCCCCGAAAGAAAAAAAAATAATAAAAAAATAAATATATATATACGAAACTTTCTAGCGGGTAAATAACTCTACCTCCACTGACTACACGACAATGGCGAAGAAATATATAAATACGAGACTTTCGAAGCGGTAAACGCAGCCTCGACAGACCGGAACTGCCTTGTCGGCGGCGAAATGGAGGGGGCGTTTGTTTGGGAACGGATAACGTTAAATATATACATTTTGGTAATTACAACTGCTACACGTCGTAAAAAAGAAAAAGATGTCGTCCGACCTCGTTCAGAATCAACAAAACCACAAAATCAAGAAATAGCGAGCAAGAAAACTCTAGCATTTGCTCGGAACGTTTGGCACTCTGAGGGCGACCTTTTTCAAGAAGAGTTCTGTGCATCCTGCATGCCCTCCTCACGCAGCGGCAAAAGCTGGAACTACGGTTGGCGTCTGAGAGGCGAGTTGCCCTACCTGCCCTGCGTCCTCCGCGGCTCAGATGAGTTGTGGACGAGGAAAAGGAGAGGTGGCGGAACTCCACCTTCCGGACGACAATCGCACTTCAAGGTTTTGGCGCTGGGTGTCGTCTAACAGCGATAGCCGTTATGGGCTCTTCTCCCTGTTCGAAATAATGATGGAGAGCGTGGGCTGGGGTGTCGCCAAATGCAAAGAAACTCCTCGAAACCCGCCGCAAGTCTTCGTTTTTTTTTTTTTTAGGAATTGATTTTAAGTTATATTTGCAAATTTTATTTTATTTGCCATAGCGGCATTACAGAAGGGAGTGGTTGGTTAGTGCGAGGCGAAGCTCGCTGTTATCGGTGATGGTGAAGGTGTCATCGGCAAGGCCATCCGAGTCCATGATAGATTCGGGTAGAGGTGAACACTGACAAGCTGTAGATTTCACCTTGGTTCGGGCGACCTCGCATCAGTGGTCCAGTCTCGAAGAAACATAGGTGGGCGGGCTAAGGAGAGAATGTTTCCGAAGTGGAGAGTAAAACCATAGCCTCCTCTATAGCAAAGCCTGGCAGTTCAACGACGAAGCCGTGGAGTGCCCGGTCGCAGATTTGGAGCGCGAGGATCTGGCACAGCACAGAGGATTTCTCTAAAAACCTGGACGTGAGCGCACAGCTTTCGCAGCGGCGAGGACCCGAAACATGGTTTTCAAACCCGAAGAAAAAAAACGGTAGCGCGAGGAATGCGAAGAGCACGAGCGGACATTCTTTCGCTCGGGAGAAGTATTTCGGCGTCTCGCCGCAGCGGGGCGTCCGTCATGTGGCTCTCCTCTCACCCCTTGTCTGCCGCTCTCGTGGCGATCTGCCAGGCTTTGTCAGTATAGAGGAGGCTACGGTGAAACACGTTACGAAGGAGGCGAAGCCTAGAAATTTTATGAGGTAAGGAGATCGGAGCACTGAGATTTCATTGCAGCGACACTAGAAAAGGCGAAAGTAATCGGAAAAGACGAAGCGAGCTGCACGATTTTGGGACGGCTTCCTTCGCGTTGCAGCAGAGAGCAGATTGATGGCGATGCGGATTGATGGAGGCTGTTGATTGTGAAACCAGTGCGC